ATGTTGACATTTTAAAAATGTTTCATCTTATTACGTATTAGAAAAAGCGTATGAGTTGACTATAGTTTCATTACATAGTGTGAATACAGTTTTTTAGATGAAAACTGTTGCCAATTGCATGCACTGTATCTGTTGGATAATAAATAGCTTTTAAGAGATAGGAAAAAAAGAAAATTAAATAATTTATTCTGAATAAAAGAGTATCCAGATTATTAGAATTATTACAAAGCACGTATGTTTTGGTCATTTACACGATCAAAAATATAGATGATTCTCAGAAAGGTTACTGATTGTAAGATAATTTTCTTTCTGATTATCACCATTCTTCCTCCTTAGTGATTCTGGTCTATATAGAGCACTACCTTCAAGAAATGGGATTCTGCCCTGGATTTGTTCTACCACAGTGACTCGCATTTCAACCTCAGGTTATATTTGCTCAGATTTTTCACATATATTATTTTGTCCCTTAGAACTCTGAGAAGTAAACTGTTATCCCTAATGAATGAATTCCTTTCTTCACTTAGCATGCATTGAGCACATATTGTGAGTTACAGTTCTATAGTGAAATCAAAGCTTTTGTCATTAAGCCCGCAAACCTTATTTGACTGGTGGTCAACTCCAGTTGCTGGGTTGGTGATAAAATGAGGGAAGGGAGCCCAGTGTGACCGTGGGGAGTGGTGGAGACTAGTGCACTAAAGAACATGTCCTTCCCTGTGAGGGACAACTAATCGTTAGCTCTAGCTCATGTTACCTTGATGTGGGACTCAGGGCTGTCAGATTGTCTAATTTTTCAAGAACATTTTTCAGTTTTATTATTGAAAGCAAATTTTAAAGATTAAGTGTTGCAGTGACTAAAGAAAATAAATGCTGACCAGGTGCAGCAAAAAGGCTGGAAAGAGAGAGAAGTAACCAGGTAGTTGTGCAGTGAGTGGAAGTCCAGCGTGCTGTGGAAGCAGAAGGAAGAGATGCTGATGCAGATTTAAGGGGATTCCAGAGGGCCTGTGACAGGCTGGGGGCAGGCATTGTAGAGGAAGGGACAGTTGAGGGATCTGCTGGTGGAAGCAGTCACTGTGGTTTGAGATCCAGGAGTCCGCCCAGCCAATCAGAGATGAAGCCCAGAGCTGCTCCTCCCCAGCAGTGCTCCCCTGTCTCTGCGTGGTGACACACTAGCACAGGTGTTCATGATTTTGGACAAGGCAGAAGGTGTGTGCATTGTAACACTTATTGGAATTATCTTGGAGGCCAATTAGGACACATCCGTGTTAGTTACCATTCACTCAAACGAGCAGGCTGAGCAGCTTTGAGAAGCAGCCACTCTGTGTGCAGCTGAACAGCATGTTTCCCTGCTTTGCACTTGGGGTTCGTGTCCCTTCTTTGCATGCTCCGGATACTGCCAAGCTGCGTATTGTTGTTGAATAGCAGATAGTGAGGCTGCCGTTTCATGCTCGTGGAATACAGTAAACCCAGGCATCCTTAGTCTTCTCCCTAGTGCTTATATGAGGCCAGTTTCTCTGCACATGTCCTCCAAGAAATGCATGCTAGGCTGTTACAGATGCTGTGGAGACTGGAGCTTTTGGCAAACTGTAAAAACCCCAGCAGCCAGACCCATGGTACATCATCTCAGTCATTTGTAGGGCTTGTGCTTGCTAAATCATCCCCAAATAAACAGAACACTGAAGCATATAAAAGCATTTTTCTGTCTTTGGGCCAGACCCTGGATGTCCAGAATTTAAAAATAGTTTTAATAAATAACCTTTTGATTGCCTTATTTATATTTTAAATATTATTACTTAAACGCTTAAGCTATTTTATGAAATTTTCCTTCTGTTTATGAATGCCAAAGAATTTCATTCGACTTCAGGAAATTCAAGGTCACACTTATAACCGTCCACCAGCTACATTGTTTATTTCTAAAATACTCCTAGGCCAGGCTATGTCAAAAGGTGTTTTGAAGATCACTACCTTGGCCAAGCTGCGAGCTCCCTTGAAGGAACAAGTTGTAGTGTCTTCTAGCCTAGTCCTGCCTCCTTTCAGGCACCTAAGGACCATTTAACCAATGTTTGTTGAATGAATAAATACATGATTAAATGTATTATTGCATATGTGTCTCTCATCAGTTTTGTTGAGGTCGCCCTGCTGTCCTGAATGGCAGGAGTCATTGGATGCTGGTGATGGGTTAGGACACAAGCCTAGGTCAGCATGGTGGGATGCTGAGGAGCCCAGTTGTGGAGTTACTGGGCATGAACTGGATTTGATTTCCACTGGTTCTAGCATTTGTTTCCTTTGACCTTCAGTTTTCTCTTCCATCATAGGGGATAAATGTCTACTTTAGAGTGTGGTAGAAAGCCTAAAAAAGCTGTGCTTTATTTTATTTATTTATTTATTTTTGAGATGGAGTCTCGCTCTGTCGCCCAGGCTGGAGTGCAGTGGCCGGATCTCGGCTCACTACAAGCTCTGCCTCCCGGGTTCATGCCATTCTCCTGCCTCAGCCTCCTGAGTAGCTGGGACCACAGGCGCCGCCACCTCGCCCGGCTAGTTTTTTGTATTTTTAGTAGAGACGGGGTTTCACCGTGTTAGCCAGGATGGTCTTGATCTCCTGACCTCGTGATCCACCCGCCTCGGCCTCCCAAAGTGCTGGGATTACAGGCGTGAGCCACCGAAGCTATGCTTTTTTAAAGCATTAGCACAGTACTCAACATTATAAATGCTTGGTTCAGACTCTTGGTGGATTCTTAGTCTTCAGATGCCTTCTGCAGGCTCCTGGGTCCCCAGGGCTAAAATGCTGCTGCCACTTTACTGCGGCCGCCTAGATGCCTCCTATTTGTCCGATGGATTACAGTCTTCGAGGGTTGTCACATCCTAAGATTGATCCTCCATAATAATGTCATTAACATGAAGGACAATAATAGTTGCTAACACTTCTATAGCACTTATCATGTGCCAGAAACAGTTTATATCAGCTAATTCTCCTGAAAGTGCTTTACAGCTGTTAAACTAACTCCTCACAGCAATTTCAGGAGGTAGGTACTATCAGTCTGCCCCATTTAGAGATGAGGAAACTGAGACTCAGGGTTAAGGAACTTATCCCAGGTTGCACAGTTCATAAGTGGTGGTCTCAATAACAGCAGCAGTAACAGCATCAGCGACTGCTCCAGGCGCTGGGTTCAGCACTTTGTATTAGCCCAGTTAGTCCTCACAACACCCCTGTGAGATGGGTTCTATTTTTGTCTCCTTATGAATGGGTAGCATCAAAGTGACAATGTTAAGAAGTGCTTCACGATTTGTCTGTCTTTTTCAGTAGTTAGTGTAGCATCCCACTAGACGATTCTATCCAAACTAGTCGCTCGAATATGGTATGTGCTGACTGACTTGTCAATCTCTTTGTCTCATATTTTGTGTAAATGCTTTGGCATTATCCCCGTTGTTTCTTATTAGTTTTAATTCCACCTAAATTACACATTTCTTACTTTTAAAACTGAATACGTTTTTAAAAATTTAAGATCGTATCATAAAAGAAATAACCTGAAGCATGCACTTCAAAGAATGTGATTTTTATCTTCTCACCCTAACCCTGTGTCTACACAAGCAGTAAGTTGCATGGTTGGGTAATTGCTGGATGATTTTGAGATATGCCAGCGGGGAGAAAAGTTATGACCAAGTAGCTGGAAAAGTGAAAAAAGCTGTTTGAATTCACTTCAAATGGGTCATTCACTCAACAAAGGTAAATGATTTTTCATTGCCCTGGCAATGTGACCTGCCCAGGCAGTGGACGTGGTTCATCTGGGTTCATCCACTCCGGGGTGCCCATCAGCTCACCCCGGTAGCTGCTCAGCCCGCCGCTCTGCCCCCTCTGCCCCCTTTGTTGTTGTCGTCGTTGTTTTTCTTGAGCTCTTTGCCCATGGTTCTGGTTCTGTGCTCTGGTTTCTTTCTAAGTCAAATGATCCACTTGGGATCTGTTAGTTTTGGAAACTTCAACTTTAAAGGAAACAGAACCGCTGTTTCTGTACCTGATGGAGCAGCCAGATGAGGCTTCGCTTTTTCTTTTTGATCTCTTTGTGGACATGTGTGGATCTGTAAAAAACAGCCAGGTTTGGTTCTGCATTTTAGATCATTCCTGGTAAAGATAAAGAGGCTTGGTTTATCTTTTGTTGAAATGTTGGGTTAGTGCCTGTGATTTCATCACTCGTAAATGACTTTTAGATGTTTTAAGATGAATGCTTATTTTTCTGCCGTATATACTTTGCACCATACTGGTTTGGGAAAGAATTCACAAATGCGGAATGTTATCTGTCTGCTTCTTAGTGAAGACAAAGTTGTCAAGATACAAACCTAGTGTCTTCATTTAATAACACATTGTCTGTCAGGGCGTATGTGACACAGTAGATGTAGAAACGGATGCTCCACCTGGGTTTGCATCCAGCTGTGCCTCTTACTAGCAGTGTGACCTTGGGCAGGTTACTTAGCTCTCTCTGAGTCTGTTTCCCCATCGCTAAAATGGGAATACTGACAGGATCTACCTTCTAGAGTAGTTGTGAAGATTAAGTGAGTTAGCATGCTGAAAATAGTACTTGGCACATAGTGCCTAGTAAGGGTTGTTATTTTATCACTATCATTGCCCTGTTGGCATTGTCTAAACCCATATAAATGGGAGGTTTACATAGTCACTATTTGACTAGAATTTCATGCTGAGTGAAGTAGATTGGCCGCTGTAAAGACATGGGTAGAAAATATCAATAAAGGCGGTGTAATCTGGAAACTCAGAGCCTGTAAGAGTTTTGAGTGTATGTATAGGTAAACAGAGCTTCAGTTCTCATAATATGAATTATAAAAGAATTACATATTATTTGTCTTTTTTCTTTTTTAAAGGTGGTTTCTTTTAAAACACAAATAATATTTATTACCTAGTCTATATAGTAAGTGGTAAATATTATATAGTAAACAGAGCACAGTCACTGATGTTTTTCATGTCAACTGCATCTTCCTTTCTATCTTTTATTTAGAACTCTCCAACAATAAATACATTTGATAAGAACGATGGCTTTAAAGGTGCTACTAGAACAAGAGAAAACGTTTTTCACTCTTTTAGTATTACTAGGCTATTTGGTAAGTAAACTCTTTTTTTCTTTAATAAAAATGTGGTAAAAGAATTCATGTACTAATAAGTAGTAGCAGTACCAAAATCATTTTATTTTTTATTTTATTTTTTTTTGAGACAGCGTCTTGCTCTTTTGCCCAGGCTGGAGTGCAGTGGTGCGGTCTTGGCTCACTGTAACCTCTGCCTCCCAGGTTCAAGCAGTTCTCCTGCTTCAGGCTCCCGAGTCACTGGGATTACAGACACCCGCCACCACTCCCAGCTAATTTTTGTATTTTTAGTAGAGATGGGGTTTCACCATGTTGTCCAGGCTGATCTTGAATTCCTGACCTCAGGTGATCTGCCTGCTTCGGCCTCCCGAAGTGCTGGGATTACAGGCATGAGCCACCACACCTGGCCCAAAATAATTTTCTATTTCTGATCCAATATTATGTTTTTATCTCTTTCAAATGGCATTTTATTATTTTTGCATGTAATTAATAAGTGAAAGATTGCTGCTTATTCATGATATTTGTAACAATTGTTGAAATTACCTTATTTAAGTGTAGGTGAAGTCATAAAATTGCAGTGTTACTTGTGGCACTATGACAATGATACTATTTTGCCTTTATAGGCCTATATCTCTTGTCACGTATGCCAGAAGCTAAAAGACCATAAAATCTAATTTGGAGCCCATGACCTACATAGTTTATCAATAATTTAGAATAGGTTTTTAGAAGTTATTATTTTATATAGTTGTTTATATTCTTCTTGGTTCCAAAAAGCATGAAAAACAGATGGAAAATGTTAGTGTTTGAAAGTTTGACAGAAGATTTATGAAGATGTTCAAAAGATCAAAATGTATTTAATCTAGAGATAAAATAATGATCTACAGATACATAAAGAAAGATTTACACTGAAGACAATATGCAAAGTTTTCTTGAAAGACAAAGTTAAGCTGGATGCTGTGGCTCAGGCTTGCAATCCCAGCACTTTGGGAGGCTGAGGCAGGTGGATCATTTGAGGTGCAAAGTTCAATACCAGCTTGGCCAACATGGTGAGACCCCATCTTTACTAAAAATACAAAAATTAACTGGGCGTGGTGGTGCGCACCTGTAATCCCAGCTACTTGGGAGGCTAAGGTAGGAGAATTGCTTGAACGTGAGAGGCGGAGGTTGCAGTGAGCTGAGAACACACCACTGCACTCTAGCCTGGGCGACAGAGCGAGACTGCGTCTCAGAAATAAATAAAGAGATAAATAAAAATAAAAACTAAAGACAAAGTGGGATTCAGGTAAATGTAGGAGAGCTTCCCTTCTGTAATTGGAGGCTGTTAAACATTGAGTAATGGCCTAAGAGGAAGGTTGTGTAATTTCTTTCTCTTTACAGTCTCTCTGTGGTGGAAGGGAAGCTCCTACCCCTTATAAATAAGTAAACTCCTCCAAGATTGGGCGTTGAGGAGGAGTTGAGGCAAAAGTCTTCACAGCCTTAAAAAATTTTCTTTTTTTTTTTTTTTTTGAGACGGAGTCTCACTTTGTCACTAGGCTGGAGTGCAGTGGTGCGATCTTGGCTCACTGCAACCTCCACTTCCTGGGTTCAAGTGATTCCCCTGCCTCAGCCCTCCCAAGTAGCTGGGACTATAGGTGCGCACCACCACACCTAGCTAATTTTTGTATTTTTAGTAGAGACAAGGTTTCACCATGTTAGCCAGGATGGTCTCAATCTCTTGACCTCGTGATCCGCCCACCTTGGCCTCCCAAGGTGCTGGGATTATAAGCGTGAGCCACCATGCCTCGCCACCTCAAAGAATTTTCTAGTCTCAAACGTCACCTTGAATTCTTCCTCCTGCTTGCCCTAGATATTAAACCTTTCACCTTAAAGAGGTTGTTAAATAACTTCACGATATTCCTGCTTCAAGGTGGAGGAGGTTTGTACAGAGTTATATGCATCACAGTGTCCTGTGCTCAACTGTGTGGTAAGCATTAGACAGAACAGCAGTGTCCGTTCCCCCAGTTCCTCCTAAGATTTTCAGCTTCCGTTAAGGAAAACAGAACCGCGTCAGTAGCAACTATTCAGGGCATTCTCGCTTAGGATAAGAGGTTGGACCAAATGTCTTCACCAATTCTGTGATGCTGGTAACACCAACATTATTTAGTAAATACTGTCTGTTCAGCAGATAACATACTTTGCTAGGATGATCTCATACAAGGATAACTTGTTTTCAGAGAAAATAAGAGAGAAAAGCTACATTTTGGAAAATGACAAACAACCTTTGTTTTTGCCTAAGTATAAATTTTCCCTTTAAGTCCTGTGCTGTGAACCAAAGTATATTGTTAGGTCCCGGGCAGGGGCTCACTGGCAGTCAGTAAAGGCATAAGCTCAGATTTCAGTGGCACTTCTACTTTGAGGAGTCCCAAGAGTTGGGCCACTACTGCCCTCTTTAGCATCATCACCAAGAATTTTACTGGTGTCCTGATTGTTAGAAATTATTATTTGAAAGACACCCTCTAAGGAAATGTAGTTCAGTTGAAAAGGGTTGAAACGTCCCCATCAAAACCGCATGGCAGATAAGTCTAAAGGATAATTGCAAAGTTCTTGTGGCTGTACTCTTGTGGCTATACTAATCTATTCAATTTATTTAATTCATTACACTTGAATATGTTTATATTTCTTCCAGATGAAAAATTTTTTTAATTCAGATTTTTTTCTGGTAGCAAAAGGACCTTGGGTCCTATATCAAACAAAGTCATAACTGTTTTTTGTTTTCAAATATCTTCTTACTTAGAGAAGAGAACAGCTCCTAAGTCATGTCGTATCTTGGGTCCCAGAAGGGTTTCTGAGGAGGATAGCAGTTAATTCCGAGAAAATGGCACACCCTGCTTAGAGAGCCAATGAGTATTCTCTGGAATACAGAGAAGAATTTGGCTTATTGATTTAGTTCCACTGACTTATTCAGAAAGTGGGTTTTCTTCCTAAAGTGAACATTGAATTGACTCTGAACTGATGTTTACATTCAGTGATTGTGTGACTGATATTGAAAATATTGTTCCTTTCTTGCAAAAAAACAGTTTAACATACTTTAAGATAACATTTTGTTAAATTTTTTTTTTTCAGTCATGTAAAGTGACTTGTGAAACAGGAGACTGTAGACAACAAGAATTCAGGGATCGGTCTGGAAATTGTGTTCCCTGCAACCAGTGCGGGCCAGGCATGGAGTTGTCTAAGGTATATTGGATACATGGCAAAGTTGTATATCTGTGTTTGTAAAATGCATTCTTCTTCTTCTTTTTTTTTAAATGCATTCTTCTTAACTAAATTATTTGAGTTAATTATTAATGACGCTTTGGATACCATGACAGAATTATTGGATTATTATGTCACTTTGGCCAAATATCATACAATTCCCTTTTTAATACTTTTGATTCATGTGTCTTACTGAGATAAATAGGTTCTCAAACCCAGAATTCAACAGATGTCATTGTTTTATGTAATTTAAGATTTGTAGTATTTCACTAAAACAATACAATTTTAAAGGTTTATTTGCATTAATCAATAACAACCAAAATTCCATTGAAGATTGAAAACTAAAGCCTTATGTGCTGGCTAGCAAGCTGGCCGAATAGAAACAGCTCTGATCCGCAGCCCCCAGCGAGATCAATGCAGAAGGTAGGTGATTTCTTCATTTCCAACGGAGATACCCAGCTCATCTCACTGGGACTGGTTAAACCGTGGGTGTAGCCCATGGAGGCTGAGCCGAAACAGGGTGGGGTGTCGCCTCACCTGGGAAGTGCAAGGAATCCAGGAACTGCTTCCCCTAGCCAAGAGAAGCCTTGAGGGACGGTGGACTCCAACGCAGATACTACGCTTTTCCCATGTTCTGTGCAACCCACAGACCAGGAGAGGTGCCTATACCACCAGGGCCCTGGTTTTAAGCACAAAAGTGGGTGGCCATTTGGGCAGACCCTGAGCTACCTGCAGGAGTTTTTTTTTTCCTACCCTAGTGGCATCTGGAACGTCAGCGAGACAGAACCACTCACTCCCCTGGAAAGGGGAATGAAGCCAGGGAGACAAATGATCTAGCTCAGCAGATCCCACCCCCATGGAGCCCAGCAAGCTAAGATCCACTGGCTTGAAATTCTCACTGCCAGCACAGCAGTCTGAAGTCCATCTGGGGATGCTCAGGCTTGGTGTGGGGAGGGGCATCTGTCATTACTTAGGCTTGAGTAGGCAGTTTTCTCCTCACAGTGTAAACAAAGCCACCTGGAAGTTCAAACTGGGTGGAGCCCACCACAGCTGGCAAAGCCACTGTAGCCAGACTGCCTCTCTAGATTCCTCCTCTCTGGGCAGGGCATCTCTGAAAGAAAGGCAGCAGCCCCAGTCAGGGGCTTTTAGATAAAACTCCCATCTCCCTGGAACAGAGCACCTAGGGGAAGGGGTGGCTGGGGGTGCAGCTTCAGCAGACTTAAACGTTCCTGCGTGCCAGCTCTGAAGAAAGCAGCAGATCTCCCAGCAAAGTGCTCGATCTCTACTAAGGGACAGACTGCCTCCTCAAGTGGGTCGCTGACCCCCATGCCTCCTGACTGGGAGACACCACCCAGCAGGGGTCGACAGACGCCTCATACAGGAGAGCTCTGGCTGGCATCTGGTGGGTGCCCCTTTGGGACGAAGCTTCCAGAGGAAGGAACAGGCAGCAATCTTTGCTGTTCTACAGCCTCTGCCGATGATACCCAGGCAAACAGGGTCTGGAGTGGACCTCTAACAAACTCCAGCAGACCTGCAGCAATGGGCCTGACTGTTAGAAGGAAAACTAACAAACGGAAAGGAATAGCATCAACATCAGCAAAAAGGACATCCACACAAAAACCCCATCCAAAGGTCACCAGCCTCAAAGACCAAAGGTAGATAAATCCACAAAGATGAGGAAAAACCAGTGCAAAAAGGCTGAAAATTCCAAAAACCAGAATGCCTCTTCCCCAGAGGATCACAAGTCCTCGCCAGTAAGAGAACAAAACTGGACAGAGAATGAGTTTACGAATTAACAGAAGTAGCCTTCAGAAGGTGGGTAATAACAAACTTCACCGAGCTAAAGGAGCCTGTTCTCACCAAATGCAAGGAAGCTAAGAACCTTGAAAAAAGGTTAGAGGAATTGCTAACTAGAATAACCAGTTTAGAGAAGAACATAAATGACCTGATGGAGCTGAAAAACACAGCAGAGAACTTCGTGAAGCATATACAAGTATCAATAGCTGAATCAATCAAGCAGAAGAAAGGATATCGGAGATTGAAGATCAAGTTAATGAAATAAAGCGTGAAGACAAGATTAGAGAAAAAAGAATGAAAGGGAACAAACGAAGATATGGGAGTATGTGAAAAGACCAAACCTACATTTGATTGGTGCACCTGAAAGTGACGGGGAGAATGGAACCAAGTTGGAAAACACTCTTCAGGATATTATCCAGGAGAACCTCCCCACCCTAGCAAGAGAGGCCAACATTCAATTTCAGGAAATACAGAGAACATCACAAAGATACTCCTCTAGAAGAGCAACCCCAAGACACAATCTTCAGATTCACAAAGGTTGAAATAAAGGAAAAAATGTTAAGGGCAGCCAGAGAGAAAGGTCGGGTTACCCACAAAGGGAAGCCCATCAGACTAACAGCGGATCTCTCGGCAGAAACCCTACAAGCCAGAAGAGAGTGGGGGCCAATAGCCAACATTCTTAAAGAAAAGAATTTCCAACCCAGAACTTCATATCCAGCCAAACTAAGCTTCATAAGTGAAGGAGAAATGAAATCCTTTACAGACAAGCAAATGATGAGAGATTTTGTCACCACCAGGCCTGCCTTACAAGAGCTCCTGAAGGAAGCACTGAATATGGAAAGGAAAAACTGGTACCAGGAACTATAAAAACATACCAAATTGTAAAGACCATCGACACTATGAAGAAACTGCATCAACTAACGGCGAAATAACCAGCTAGCATCATGACAGGATCAAATTCACACATGACAATATTAACCTTAATTGTAAATGGGCTAAATACCCCAATTAAAAGACATAGACTGGCAAATTGGATAAAGAGTCAAGACCCATCAGTGTGCTGTATTCGGGAGATCCATCTCACGTGGAAAGACACACATAGGCTCAAAATAAAGGGATGGAGGAATATTTACCAAGCAAATGGAAAGCAAAAAAAAGCAGGGGTTGCAATCCTAGTCTCTGATAAAAGACTTTAAACCAACAAAGATCAAAAAAGACAAGGGCATTATATAATGGTATAAGGGATCAATGCAACAAGAAGGGAAGGGCTAACTATCCTAAATATATATGCACCCAATACAGAAGCACCCAGATTTACAAAGCAAGTTCTTAGATACCTACGCAAAGAGACTTAGACTCCCACACAATAATAGTGGGAGACTTTAACACCCCACTGTGAATATTAGACAGATCAATGAGAAAATTAACAAGGCTATTTAGGACTTGAACCCAGCTCTGGACCAATTGGACCTAACAGACATCTACAGAACTCTCCACCCCTTATCAACAGCATATACATTCTTCTCAGCACTACATTGCACTTACTCTAAAACTGACCACATAATTGGAAGTAAAACACTCCTCAGCAAATACAAAAGAATGGAAATCATAACAAACAGTCTCTCAGACCACAGTGCAATCAAATTAGAACTCAGGATTAAGAAACTCACTCAAAGCCGCACAACTACATGGAAACTGAACAACCTGCTCCTGAATGACTACTGGGTAAATAACAAAATTAAGGCAGAAATAAATAAGTTATTTGAAACCAATGAGAACAAAGACACAATGTACCAGAATCTCTGGGATACAGCTAAAGCAGTGTTTAGAAGGAAGTTTATAGCACTAAATGCCCACAGGAGAAAGCAGAAAAGATCTAAAATTGACACCCTAACACCACAATGAAAAGAACTAGAGAAGCAAGAGCAAACAAATTCAAAAGCTAGCAGAAGACAAGAAATAACCAAGATCAGAGCAGAACTGAAGGAGATAGGGACACAAAAAACCCTTCAAAAAATCAATCAATCCAGGAGCTGGTTTTTTGAAAAGATTAACAAAATAGATAGATCGCTAGCTAGACTAATAAAGAAAAGAGAAAAGAATCAAATAGAAACAATAAAAAAAATGATAAAGGGGGTATCAACACTGATTCCACAGAAATACAAACTACCATCAGAGAATACTGTTAACCCCTCTATGCAAATAAACTAGAAAATCTAGAAGAAATCGATAAATTCCTGGACACACATACCCTCCCTAGACTAAACCAGGAAGAAGTCAAATCCCTGAATAGATCAAGAACAAGTTCTGAAATTGAGGCAGTAATTAATAGCCTACCACCAACAACAAAAACCCAGGACTAGACAGATTCACAGCCAAATTCTACCAGAGGTACAAAGAGGAGCTGGTACTATTCTTTCTGAAACTATTCCAAACAATAGAAAAGGAGGGAATCCTCCCTAACTCATTTTATGAGGTCAGCATCATCCTGATATCAAAACCTGGCAGAGACACAACAAAAAAAGAAAATTTCAGGCCAGTATCCCTGATGAACATCAATGTGAAAATCCTCAATAAAATACTGGCAAACTGAATCCAGCAGCACATCAAAAAGCTTATCCACTGCAATCAAGTCAGCTTCACCCCTAGCATGCAAGACTGGTTCAATACTCACAAAACAATAAACGTAATCCATCACATAAACAGAACCAATGACAAAAACCACATGAGTATCTCAACAGATGCAGAAAAAGCCTATGATAAAATTCAACACCCCTTCATGCTAAAAACTCTCAGTAAACTAGGTATTGATTGAATGTATCTGGAAGTAGTAAGAGCTGTTTATGACAAACCCACAGCCAATATCATAGTGAATGGGCAAAAGCTGGAAGCATTCCCATTCTCATTAAACAATGAGAACACATGGACACAGGGAGGGGAACATTACACACCAGGCCCTGTTGCAGGGTGGGTGACAAGGGAAGGGATAGCATTAGGAGAAATACCTAATGTAGATGATGGATTGATGGACGCAGCGAACCACCATGGCACATTTATACCTATGTAACAAACCTGCACGTTCTGCACGTGTATCCCAGGACTTACAGTTTTTTATATATATATAACTGTATATATATAATATTTATGTACATTTATATATTATATATAAGTTCTAAATATATATA